TTGACCTGATGTCATCTACTGCAAGCAATGCAGCTAGTCCCGCAGAGCAGCTGCTGAAATGATTGTCCTCCAGCAGGGCCTGGCAGGAAAGAAGAGTGGAGAAAAGCAGAGAATCCAAAGTCAGCTGGGCTGCTCCAGCCCACTCCTTCCTCTCTGTCCCAGCCCCTTTTGACCTGCTGTTCTGCTACAGCTTGTCTTTCAGTCCAAAGGAGAATTACCCGCAGGTGAAGGACCCTTTGCACGGGCCTGTTTTTGAAAGCTGCCTTCTGTTTCTCTGACGGACTTTCAGTTAGGTTGAGCTTCTGCTACCACTTCTGAAAATCCAGGGGTCGCTTTTCTCTCTCCATCCTTTATTTACTCTACTGTCTATTAATCTAAGATTTGTGGTCTGAGATTTTAGTAATTCTAATCTCTGACTTCAACTAGTACTTTGCTTGGTATGTGGCTGGCCATCACTGTCACTTAGATGAGATGAGAAAAAATGATAGCTAATTTCTTAAAACCAATACTTATGGAGGTTGTCCAGTAACTCATATATACTATACATTTTCTAATGGTAAATGGTAAAATAGTGGTAATGGTAAATCTCTTTTCAAAAGAAATTTGAAAATCTCTTTTCAAATCACTTCTGCACCTGTCACCATGTATGATGTAAAAATAAAATTTACTCCTCACAGCTGTGAGCTCAGCCACCTGTGCCCTTGACCCATGTCCCTCTTGGTTGGTCAAGGCCTCCCAGGAGGTATCATGCAGTTGGCTCCAAATGGTGGTTAATGCCTCCTTGCAGGAGAGGGTGGTACTGCCTGCCATAAAGGAAGCATTGGTACATCCCCTTCTCAGGAGGATGCCCTTGGACCCAACAGTACTAGACAATTTTTGTCCAATCTCCAAGCTTCCCATTTTAGGGATGGTTGTTGAGAGGGTAGTTGGCTCTCAGCTGCTGAGGGCCCTGGATGAAGTGGATTATCTGGACCCTTTCCAGTTTGGGTTCAAGCTGGGTTACAGTATGGACTCTGGAGGATGATGTCAATGTATAGAGACAAAAGGGTTATGTATAGAGACAAAAGAGACAAAG